CATCCTATTGCCTTTAGCGAAAAAAGGTAACTAATATTTTACGCTGCTTCTGTTGCCAGTCCGTTCATTTTCTGTCTTTTTTTTGCGCTACACAACCTGCGGTCATATTTCTACCTTTTTATTTGCCCAAGCGTTGAATTAGCTCATTTTCTAATGGTATAGTATTAACATGTACATACATATATACTATATGCATAGGTGCGTGTGTGCGAGTGGTGTGCCTGTCGTTGCTGTGCCTGATAAAAGCACAAAACCCAAAAGATAATGCTTCAGGGCAACAACCAACTCGAGCAACTGTGCAAACTTTTTCGCTGGTTTTTGGCAGACAACAAAATTAAAACGCAAGATAAGCGTGCAAACAACACAAGCCCTTATGTATATGTACATATATACATGCATATATACCTGCATATATATTCCATGATTTTGAAAGGGAAATAAACATTTGTGGGCTTGTAGTTATGCTACGTGTGTTTAATCGCAAATGAGCAATTCAACAATAACTATACAACGCACACAAATTTTACGCATAGTGAGGCCAATTAGGCTTGCGGCAAAAACTAAATACCCTGCCTCTATGTGTGTGTGAGAAAATAGTGTATCCTTCAAAAAGTACACTAAACACAGTTATTAGAAAAAGTAGTCGCGAATAAAAGATCACAAGAAAAACGTTTGTCCAAATTGGCAAAAATTTTACATAAAATAAATATTTAAAATTTTACTTTACACACAAACAATACTTAAATATTGATTTTTTTCAAGTATTGACATATTCTTGAGACATATCTAATATTATAAATAATATTATAAAGGCACATAATCAAAATGAATAATGAATAATTTTTAGATTCTCTACACAATCAAAAGTAGAATTTAAAGTTATTCGAAATAACTTAACAATTGATAAGTCAAACCATATATACATTTTTTCCTTATCACCTATTTAGATTCTACTATTCAGAAAAAAATCTAAAGTTATTCGAAATATTATCTAAGTAGAAATTTCCACCTCATGTTGAGTTTTTTTTAGACAATCGTTTTTCTATCTGACTGTAGCCTTTCATAAAAAAAGACTACACAAAAGAGTTGCTTATCGAAACGGTGTCTACGGTATTGAAAAGTTATAGACAATACTAAATATTTGTGTTGAACGTTAGAGAATACTAAATTGATCAATTTTCTTACAAAGATTTCTATCAAATTTCTTTCCTTGTTAAAATGTTAACAACTATAAAGGTCATCTGCCACACCATGTTCTAGAAGCTATCCCTAAATACTCGTAGCTCCCATCTCTAACATTTTTTTTGCATTGCTTATCAGTTCAACGCCTTGTCATCTACTCCAGTTTTTTGTGTCATGTTTGTCATTTGTTTGCAGACTTCTTGGCGCCCTAGAAACTGTTGTGGCACATTACTGCTGCATTTTTATGAGATAATTTGATTGAAACTTTGCCGGCACTGCAGTTTGGAATGTCAAGTTGGTCGTGTTGTGTCTTGTTTATGGCCACATTATTGGGCTGCTTTGACAATTTGCATCTTTATGTACTCAAACGAGGACACAGTCCATAGATTGGCCTGTAAATGTGTATTGGTGTGTGTGGCTAATGTATTCTTTCGACATTTTTATACCTATTTTGTGCACGGAGAGTGCTGACAATGGCTAATCGAATATGTATATACATTTACAGCATTCGATAATCATCAAATGCTGAACAGCTTTTGAATAGGAGTGAAAAATGTGTTAAATTTCAGTTTGAAATTAAATTAAATATTTCTTAAAAGAAGCGTTAGAGAGGGATGTTTTTCAGTTATTTTTTTACATAATCAATAAATTAATTTAGGATTCTATTTGTAAATTGAAGTTAAATTTCCTTTAATCCATTTTTTTATTACTTAACATAATTTATCTTAATTAACTGCAGAGCATCTAAGCCTCAAATAAATATTATTATTAATAATATTTTGAATATTTTATATATTTGGGGTCGTTAGAGATATCACAAGCACAAATAATTCGTAATAAAAAAATTAATAATTCAGCAATACATATTTTTTTAAATTCTCTCTACCCTTTCTAGAGTTATAAGAACTATAACTCTATAAATAATGCATTACTTAAAACAACTAGAGCTTGATTTGTTGAAATAATTGAAGAAAAATATACACTGAACAAAAAATAAACTTCAATGCAAATGTGTCAGTTGATAAAAAGATCAACACATCTTGACACATGATAAGCAAAGCCAGCGCCTTTAGTGATAAGCGTAATTTTCATTAAGAAGTAAGCATGGGTCGAATCCTTGCCCTTCTATTTCGGGGTTACACTTAGTAAATGGTATTATTTAATTTAATTTAACTAATGTATTATTTAGTACCGAAAGCAGTCAAAACTATTCATTTAATATTATAAAAAATGTATTGCTCAGGCATGTTTCCAAACAACTAAAATTTAAGTGCAACTATCCTGTAGGTGCGTATGAAGAACCCGTAATTCTCAGTCACGTCCTTTCCAGCCTTGGCATTATGCTTGCCGGCCTCAGAAACTGCATATTTGCACAAAATACTTGCACGTTAAAGTCTACACGAGAGTATGCGAAACATTTAAAGGCGCCGTGGCAGGAGGTGGAACAGGATAGGAAGGATAAGAAGCGTTAGCATCATGGTCGTCAGATGATTAGTTGCATATTCTTTGGCCAGCGTTCTGGCTGCTGCGCCGTGCTCCCACAGCTGTCAATGTGCTGCTGATTTTGAGCGAGCAAATATTTAATTTAAGAACATTTTTGCTCTTCCAACTCTCCATTCCCCATTCCCCATTGTTGCTGGGGCTGCTTTGTGGCTATTGCGACGTGCAGCCAGCTACTAGTTGGTGTGTCTTTGAAATCTCAGTTGTATTGGCTCTGCTGCTGCTGCTGCTGTTTCTGTTGCTGTTGCTGCAGCAACCAAGGGAGCTCAGCGTCATATTAGCCCAAGTCAAACAATGGCATTGGCTAACTGGAAGACCAACGTAAAATTGCAACGTGCAGCAGAAGCCAAGCAGCAAAAAATGCGGCAATGTGAAAAAAAAAACAGGCAAAACAAAAAGAATAACATAAAAGGAAAAGTGTTGTTAAGAAGCAAAATGCACGGGACAGAAAATCGATGTGAAAATTCTTAGTTGTGTTGTGTTTTGTGGTTAGATGCGCAAAGTTTTTGTGGGCGGCTCTTGGGCGTTTCCTAGCTACTAAATCCTGTGTGTGGCAGATTAACACGTGCCGACTGGACGGACATAGTCAGCCAGCAAGTCATTCAATTGTTGGGGGCAGCAAGAAGGTCAAATTGAAGTTGAATGCTAAACGAAATAAATAAAGTGCATATCGATCAATAGAAGTACAGGTGCATTGTGGGCGTTCCTCAATACTTTAAATAAATAACAATGGTGAATGAAAGCGGGCGAACAAGTTAGCTTTATCGGCGTCAATGCTAAGTATTTATATATCCTCCATGATGTGCCTTACAATCAAAGGTATATTTAATATTCAATTTAGTTGTAATAGCTACACTAAAATAATTTCAAAGTCATATTCTTGGTATGACTGCTATATAGTGATCAGAAATGTTTGGTCTCTACATATTATTTTCTGTGACCGCTAAAAAGAAATTTGGATGTGAAATCTTAACAGAAAAGCTCTAAAATCTTGGGACGAATAGTGATAAGAACAGACAGATCATCAGACAAGCAAAATTCATGTTGCAAAGCTGATTTTTTAATATTGCTTTCTTTGTACGACAAACTTAATATTTCATTTAGGGACATAAAACATGTTGTGGCATATTTTAGTATCATTTCTATCCATTGTCTATATTTTCTTTCAAAATAATAGAATAAACTCATGTTGTCTTATGATAAGAAGAGCCAACATACCACTTTTGCTTTACAAAAAGGATTATTTAGTTGTATAAAGTTAATTTTAGTTGAATGGCTAAAATGTACAGAACAGTACGAGTTAACTTTCTACTCGTTTCAGCATATATTGGAGAACAACTTTTAGATCAAAATTGTTAAAAAAATAAAATCACATTAAAACGAAATGCAAAAAATATGAAATTTCTGGAGCGTTGCTTTCTTCAACTTCAACCCATTGTACAAAAGCGATAAAAGGGTTTATACAAACTTCTTTAGATAAAGAAATAAGACTACTTTATAATTGTCCTAAGGGGCAACTATGTCAGCCCAAGGTCTTCCTTTAGAGGTGTGCTAATTTAATATACAAGTACTAAAGAGATTGAATTTAATACCAAATAATACAATAATAATAATACATGTTTATGGAATTTGCTAGAATCGCGATACGAAAACATATCTACAGTACAGCAAAGCAGAAATGCACACAAAATCAGTTAAAATTTAATGAGTTTTAAACCTCGGCGTGACTTTTAGTTTTAAATTATTAGGAAAGCCTAAATATAGAAATTAGTTTCCAGCGGCGAAACTGGTAGCCCTTTTCTGGGAGAACCGCAGTTATCGACCTTGGTTATCCACATCTCGCTCATGTCTTGACATACATTTTTTGTGGTTCCCAATATCCACTGTAGGTTGTAATACAACATATCGGAAGCAATTTAATCAAGTCTTTAAGAATTATATATCCTACATCTTAAGGAAATTTTTCATAACAAAATGTTGTGAAGCTGTAGAGAAAAAGATCACATTCCAATAGCAAAAAACAAATGTTTAAAGCTCGATAAAAACTTTAGAAACAGTTCCACCAATTATAGGTTGCTTGCTAAGTTTTAGAAATCTTATACGAGTGGCATTAAAAAGTTCACCACAAATTTTTCAAGGGTTCTCCAAACAACATCGTGGGATTGCTTACACGATATTTGCCAATAAATCCAAATATAAGTATTTTGTTTTTTATAATTTGCTCTTTTATTTATAAAACAAATAATAACAATTTGAATTTATTTGTTTTGTTTTGGTTGCTTTGAAAATTTGCTATTAAATTTTACATTTTTGTTCAGTTAAATGTTAAACAATTCCATACATATTTACGTTTCATTTAAATACTTACAAAATAAAATGCGTACAATAGAAATAATTACAATATATATGTATGTAGTATGCATGTTTTCACTTTATGTTTATTGGTGATTATAATAATTAATCAAATAATTGTTGCTGCAGTTGTGGTTTCAATTCTTTCACGTAGTGACAGCTTCACTTAGCAGTTGTTTTAAAAAATATATATATATTCATTCAATATACTACAATATTTTTGTTTATAGTATTTGTTTTCTATATTTTTATTCTTTTTGTTCATAAAGGACGATAAACCATCATAGACTTTATCAAAAAGGCAAACAATCAGTTATACATACAATTTCTCTTTTTACAAGTTTTACAAATTTCTGGCTATAATATTCTCCTTAATTGTGTCTCATTTTTGTTTAATTATTAATATTGGTTGATGTTTTACAAATCGCACGTTTGTTTGTTTGTTTGTTTGTTGCTAAAAATTATACAAAATTGTTCGTATTTTATTGGGGTTTCCCATTCTTCTATTCACTATACAATTTTTAAAATTCCATCAAGAAGACATTTTGCAGGACCGAACTACAATTCGTATGCTATGAGGTGGCATTATATTTGCCGCCGCCCAGACTTCGCTGTGGCGATTGCAACTGCTGTTGTTGTTGTTGTTGCTGCTGCTGTTGCAGTTGCAGTTGCTGTTGTGAGAGCGGTACGGTACTTTGGCTGTTCGTAGGCGTGACAATATTATTTCTACTATTTAAATTATTATTAGTAATATTTTGGCTAATTTGAGACTTATTATTATTAGTGGTCGTTATTGTGGCAACACGTCTTAGACGATTATCTGGTATCGGTGGTGATTGTAAAGTGCCCGAAGAGAGATGTTGCGGTGAGAATGATGATGGCCCACTGGGGCTGCCACCGAAAGCAGCACCGATGCTGCTGCCTCCGGCTCCACCGCCAACGCCACCACTGCCTCCAAAAATACTGCCATTACTACTACCAATCAGGCTCAATGAGTGCTCATTGGACAGTATCTGATGGGCAGCAAAGTTCATCTCTTCGGGTGTCATATCGAGCGCCTCGCGCATCTCACGCGCGGCCGTTCCCAAAAACTCAGAATCACAATATTTTCCCAGACCCTCAGCGGCGAGTACCTATAGTCGGAAAGAAGTTGTGATAATTCGAAATATGTTGATCAGTACTTTTCATCCTTTTTTTTTCACCAATATCACAATAAAGGAGTTTAACAGAATATGTTTGTATTCAGTGTCACAAATTAAAAATTTTTACAATTGCAACTATTTATTCGATACGTAGATTTGAATAAATTTTATTTAAATGTATTTCGATTTAAAGTTCTCAAAAATTTAAGACCTTTTATGATATATTACTCTACTCTATTGCAGGACAATTAACATTTCCCAATTGTCTTCTTCTTTTTGAATAATATTTTATATTTTAGATATATCCTTAAACATTTTCAAATTTTTCCTTAGATAGTTATTGGAAACTTGCTGATTACTCACCCCTCCAATCAATGATTCGGCTAAGCCATTCATTTCAGATGAAGTTGGTAAACGACGCTGATCGTAGGGACTAGCTGGTGTCGATTGGATCATGCGCTCGTGGCCAGGAATAGCACCATTGGGTGCGTAAACTGCACAATTGAACAAAATAGAAATAGCATATTTGTTCAGATTAGATCCAAATGAAAATTTCAACAAAAAAACGAAACTAATACGATTCGTTCTTAATACTACATATTTATATTTTGTACAGAGCTGATGAGCCATGTGATTGTGAACATACCCACTCTTCCATACCTCTAAGCTCCTCTCCTTTTAACTGAAGTAATTGTTTGTTATTCATTTATTTTCTAATATGTACATAAATGTATGCTATTAGCAAAAGAAAATTCTTCTGTTTTGTCAAATTTACATCGAAACTTGAATATTTTATTCAACTTTTTTTTAAAATACATATGTTTTAAATTGTCTGTTTTCTGTAAACTAAAATCCCTTCGAAATATAACTTTCTGACTTGATTTGATTTAATTTTGAAAAACTTTGAAAGCTCACACTGTTTCTGATTCACTTGAAATATGTTAAGAACCTGTTTACAGAAGTCTGTTGAGATTGCTGATAAGTTATGAAATCTATTTGAAATTCTATTCATAGCTACTTTTTCCACAGTCTTCTTACCTTGTAAGATCAGCAAGCGTATAGTTCTAGTTCACAACCACAGCTTGTGTTAGTTAAGCAATCCATAATACTATATATGTATATACTATTTTGTTTTAGATCTATCAGCTCTACATACAAAACAATACGTAATCACATTCTTTACAAGCAATGTTAAATCAACTCAAGCAAACAACAAACAACGCGGGTTATTTCCATACGATGAGGGCATAAATATATAGTACATATGTTATGTATGTATGTTGGGGGGGTACAAACAAGGTAAGCCAACACTCCGGCACGATTAATTAATACATACTTCTAATTGTTAGGCATTTTTAGGCAATGGCATGAGCATTCATTCTACGATAAGCAGGCGACGCATCTAAAGCTAGAGTTACGATCTAATGAAGCCATAGGGTATTTAATCTAATGCTATTATATATATATATATTGTATTATCTGTACAGTGTGTGGTGTGTGATGATATCCACTCGTACTTTACACAATGGTCACCCACATACGAGTAACTGGTACATGAGAAGCAACAATACAACATTGAAACAACAGTAAATAAGATGTGGAGTTTTGATATCGGGTATATGGATATGTATTTATATGGACGCAAGGCACAGTGGGATTCACACTGGTATTGGGTAATTGGCTTACTCTCTCGCTTAAGTTAAGCACGCACGCACACATGCGCACATCTAGCCAATTACATACATACTTAATTAGTATGGGTACGACAACATTTTGTACGAATATATATGTGTATAGCATAGACATCGATATCGTTTGGTTAAATTTGTTGATAATCTTGAAATATTCGTAACCTTTTTTATTTATTTGCGTTCATTGTTGGTGTTAAACAGTTGTTATAGTTGTTGTTCTGGTTGTTGTTGTTGTTGTAGTAGTTGTTGTTGTTGAATTGTAGGTGTTATGTATTTTTTCCACGCAGTTCTAAGTAGTTGTTACTCTTGCTTGATCGATTATTGTATTTAACTATGTATATATGCTTAAGGAATGTTTTGTTGCACGGGCGGGCTCGCAAAAATTAACATTTTTATACAACATGGAGACGAAAACACAAAAAATTAAATAGAAACGAACTCTCTCTACCCAAGGGCTATGGGGAGTATTTGGTATTGGTATTTGGTATTGGTTCGAACACTCTGACACTCATCCAGCAAGTATTTCAGTGTTCAAACTCAGCATTCGGTTGTTTTTAAACTCGAATCACTTATGCTATAATAGAGTTTTATAAAAAGAAGGTATACAAGAACAAATTACTTTTACAAAAACTTCAACATTGGCATCTTATATGTATGTATTAATTGCAGCTCCCAGTATTGTTTATTAGTTTTCAATTTCGAGAATGCACTCAAAATTTTTAGTAAGGCAACATTTTAGTTTGTAATCAACAAAAGGAGCCAGCGGGGTAAGTGTGTTAGTTCCAAGCAATCGAAGGGGCAATCGGATAGGTTATAAGTACTGCTTTTAAGAGAATTACTCGCTTTTTCTTCGACGATTCTGGTCATACATATTTTTCAAACACTTGAGAAAACATTCACACAAATAGATTTTTCTTTTCAGGGTTTAATTATTGACGCGTATTTCGGTATTCATCCATATTATTCAGATTGTAACTTTTACTTTATTTGACCATTAATATTTATATTCGTCTTCATTATTAATACAATAAGTTTATCCTCAAACATTTATACAGGGATTGAATGAAGGGAGTATGTCAGCCCATTATTTACTTTAAATTTCCGGCCAGGAACTTAAAATTTTAGTTACGCTTGCTCAAAAATGAATAATGTTGGTACTAGGAGTTCTACTTATGATATTTATTCCTAAACGGCCCGTTTGTGATCTTATTGGTCACTGGTTTATAAGTTAGTTAGTCTCGTTTTATTTTATTTATGGTGGTTGCTGATCTGAATGAAAGTAAAACCCCCGTCAATCGATTCGCCTGAAAATGATGTTAGTGGTTACATTTTTAGATTTTGTGTCAAATGTGCTGTGATGTTGTTGTTGTTTGTATTGTTACTGCAACATTGTAAGTATACACTACATTTAGGCATATGACGCAACGAAAGCATTTCTATGTTAGCTCTAAGGTTGGCTCTGCCCAACAACTAAACTACAAAAGGCTACAAAAACTTAAATACTGTATTATAAATTGAAAATTCGAGCAATGCTGCAATTTGAAATAAATTATTTTTTGTTTTTCATTTCATGTCTGTTCGACTAAATATAGTATATATAGCGTAGTATGTAGAAATGCTTATGTGTTCTGTGGCGCCGTTCAACAAACAGCCAAAATACATTGAAATATTAGCGCTTGCTAGTATAGTAGTGGCTGGATTATTTGCAATTAGATACGATGTTTGCTCATTAGTCATGGCATGCCGCAGGCAACAATTTTAAAACTCGAAACTCAATTTCAGTGGCGGCCACAAGGTACGAGTATACAAAAAAATATACATATATAATGTTAACAAAAGTATGCAATCAAAAGAACGAAGAATTAACCGCTACAGTATGCGCTTGATAAAGTCCAGTTTATAGATTTGTCAATAAAAAAAAACACCACTTGAAAACATTTTCGGTTCGCTACATTATATTTTGTTTCCCAACATTAACTCACAAATAGTTTGTGGTTAGTATAGCACGCTCTGATAATCTAGTAGTCTGGATATTTTTGTGAACTTCTGGGAAAATAGATCCTACAAATAATGCACTTTGAACAGTCAAACTTCAATTGGTTTAATCCATCCTTTCATGATTAAATTATAGCATTTTGTCTTTACTAGTTTCTCGAAATAATTACGTTTGAAAATACGAAATTTAAATAAACACGACTACGAGTTGAAGGTTTATATACACTGTACCTCTAGTGTCCATATTTCTATTCCTTTGCATCGCTCTTGGCAGCCCTTTGGCAGTATGAAGAGTCTTTCTTTCTATTCCTATTTCAGATTTATGAATAAATTCAACTTTCGTAAATCAATATCGAGTGCATACTGTAGCTTAGTAACCAAATCAATTGGAATGTTAATTTGCATTTGAGTTAAATTGGCAGTTGTGTGTATATGAGAGTTTTAACCAAAATATGCCACAACGTACGAATTTGTTGGATTTTAATAAAAGAAATTGAACACAATATACTTAAGTATGTAAAATGATTAAAAAACGCTGAAAACATTTGTGCATTTGTTTGTTTTTCATGTTGTTTGGTTTTGTTGTATTTGCAACGAGCATTTTGCGCTTACCATTATTATATGGATGCAATAAAATACCACGATTGCGGTTGCTGAAATTAATGTTTTGGGGGTTGAGTAAAGTCGTTTCATTCTCAATGGATTTGCTTATTTGTTTTTTGTTGTTGTTTTTTTTTTTAGATCGATGCGCCGGGGCGACTTTTTGACTAAACATTTAAGGCACTTACATATTTATGGCATTTGTTTATGCTTCAGTTTAGTTATGTATATCAGTTTAATTATTATTATTATTTTTTGTTGTTCATAATAAGTATATTAACTCTAACTTCTCTACAAAACTAATAAGCCAAAAACCACCAAAACAGCAAACGTTTATAAGACAAAAAAAGAGAATATTTATTTTAAAAAAAAATAGAAAACGTTGTGTGCTGGTGTCCCGTCAAAATTGACTGACAAATTTGACAAAGTGGTTGAGGCATAATGACTGCAGTGACTCCTTTTGTCCATTACAAACTTTAAGGCGCACTAAGTGAACACAAAAGGCGTGGCACTAAACAAAGAAATTAAATACCACTAATTCTTTTTTTTTTCTTGTGGCACATACGCAGCCAGAACAGCTACGAAATGGCTATAAAAAAAATTGAACAAAAAATAGTTGTAAAATAACTCACTAGAACAGCAAGCTATAAGTGAAAAGTAAGTTAACTCAAATTTGACGGCAACTTTCGCTTGCCCTGTTCCGGAGCAAATCAGTAATGCGATTAGCGAAGGCATTGCAAACCATATACTCACTCATAAGAAATCGCATTAGCATCGGGCGGCAGTGTGCCGCCCATTGCACCGCCCATGTTGCCGCTTCCATTCTTGGCCAGCGGCCGCATGGAAATGCTTTCGCTGAAGGTGCGCAGCTCCCCACCGCTGCCGTGCAGCTCGTCCTGCAGCTTGCCGCTGGCAGCCATGCGCGCCTGCATTATATTCCGGGTAATATGATTGACCCCATCGGCCACGCTGCGGTTCAGGCTATCATAAAGGTAGTTGTTGCCGCCGGGGTCTCCGCTGGCCAGCACCAGACTGCTGCCACCAACGCCGGCGGCAGCAGCGGCTGCACCGCCCATGGTCAAGGCGCCGTTGCTCTGCGAGGCCTTGGCGCTGCGGCGGAAGGTGCCGTTGCCATGACGCCGTATTGAGGACCAAACGCTGCCAAACAGCGTGTGATGGCGCTACGGAAAAGAGATTACTATTTAGAAACGTTCGAATTTTCAATTTTAGTTAATACCTTAAAATTTACTTTATTTGGTCTTAAATAATCGATTAAGTTCTAACGGCAACTTACATAATTAAATTAAATAGTATTTAGTAAGTTCCGCGGGTCGATAAATTGTCAAAAACAAATTACATTTTTTTAAAGGATAAGGGAATTACTGGCGAAACTCATACGCGGATAAATTAAGAAGCCATGGGAGGCAGAATGGCAGAGGGGCGGGGTGGGGCGTTGCTTCCCCTACAAAAATTTTCGCCATATGAAGTTGACAACCCATTCATTATTATGGCGTACTATTTCGCCTTAAAATGGAACTGAGGTGGATTTCTTGAAATTTTTCTATTAATGATCATATGCAGAAGTTATTATTTTATTGCAACGTGCATTATTTAATCAAAATTTAAATTTTTTGGCAAAAGCTGTCTACGCGCTTGCATGGGAGTATTTACGATATCTCGAATTTGTTTTTTATAACTTGAATAACATGCTTTTCGTTTCATAAATTCCCAAAGCTACATACATCACTAATCGAAAAAAGCCTCGTAAAAGCCTATCATCTGAAATATTTGATTTGCAAGCAAGCGCACTATTAGTTTTTCCTAAACCAACTTTTTTTCTCCATACTACTACATTTGGAAAATTGCACAGATTAGTCTTGGCTTATTCCTTCTCTCTCCTACTGAATATATTCTGTATAAAAGTTTCGGATTTCAAAGAAAAACATTTCTCTGTTTTTTTTTTTTAAATGGCATTTTTGTCAGACTGAATAGTTTAATTTTTTGTATATTTTATTATAATTATTTTATATTTTTATTATTAATATTTTATATTATTATTATTTAATATATTTTTATTATTTTTTTATTTTATTTTTATTATTAGTAGTATTATTATTATCATTTAATTTTTAATGAATTTTTTATATTTTTATAATTAATACTTTATTGCAATTATTATGTTTTAAAAATATTTTTATTATTATTTTTTAAATATTTTTATTATTATTATATTTTATAAATATATATATATTTGTTTTATTATTATGTGTTCCAATATTATTAATATTATTATCAGTTTTTAATTAATAGTTTTTTATTTTTATAATTATTTTATTTCAATTATTATTTTTTATATTTTTCTTATTATTTTTTTTTTTAATATTTTTATTATTATTATTTTTTTTTATTTATTTATTTATTTATTTTGTGTTTAATATGGGCCTTTAACTTAAGCCATAACACAAAAGTTGGCGAATTCTAAGGCTACAAGTAATTTTGTTGAACTCGTAAAGTTGATAAAAGCTAATCGTATGATGTTTATGTTTCCCTAAAAAGCATATTCTAAAAGCTGTCGCAAATATAGCTGACATATTTTATGAGTAAGATAACTTACGCGATGCATGGGCTCTGGCTCCTCGGCTAGCTCATCCAAATTACCAGATATAGCACGCTTCAAGGCCGGCGACACTTCGTGGAGGGTACGGAGACCGGCCTGTAGCGTAACCGTGTTGCTATCCGGATGGCCCTCCTTACCCTCCTGTTCCTTGCGCTTCTTGAAGCGGCGGAAATAGTCCTGAATCAAATAGGTGGCATAGAACTTTCCAACTGTCACCTCATCATCGTTGCCTGGCGGCGGAACTACTTGATCCAACAGCTTCGGATTAGTACGTTTCCAGATTTGCTTAATTGTGGCGCGCAATTCCGAATTGGCATCGTCTATGTTGCCCTCAGTTTTAATGCTCAGGGAGGTGCGTACGACGGCAAAGAGCGTAGCATTGAAGAGCACTGTGCCATCAGAATTGAGGGGCATATTCATGGACACCAGACGCTTGCAGGCCATGCGGTGCGGGCAGAGTTTGCCAAAGCCTAGAGGTGGTGATATTTTTCGCAGCAATGTAACCACATCCAAGTGCTTGATGCGACCCTTCGCATCGGGGTCGTACTCGCTCCACAAGCGTATAAACTCGTCCAAATGGTGTGGACCCAAAATGGACCAATCTCGGGTCAAATAATCAAAGTTGTCCATAATGACAGCGACAAACAAATTGATGATCTGTAAAGATTAGTTAGTATACTCGTAGTGCTGCTAGTTACAGATTTCTCGTATACATACCAGAAATGAGCAAAGAACATAGAACGAAATGAAGAAAGGGTAGGCTATGGAGGAGCCACATTGCTCGCCAGGCGCATCGGAGTTTTCGTCGCAAATCACATCCGGTTGCTGGGAACAGGACATCATGATCTCCTGCCATGCCTCACCGGTAGCCGATCTAAATAGCACCAGGACCGCCTGCTGAAACGTTTGGAAGTTGTTGTTGCGGTCTATGGCATTGCCATTATCCAAAGCTATTTTGCCAAACATCTGAATAAAAGCACAGATTTAGGCACTTTACGATCTGATTGAACTCTAGGCTTCTCAGCTGGGACTTACCTGCATGCCCACCACTGCATAAATGAAGAAAAGTAACACAATTAGCAGGGCTACATAGGGCAGGGCTTGAAACGATTTTATAAATGTCCACAGCAATGTCCGTATACCCTCGCCCTTGCTGAGCAGCTTGACTAAGCGCATGACTCTGAACAGGCGGAAGAAGTTAATGGATATGAGGTTGGAGCCGGCCTGAAATTAGTGATATTAATAGATTTTAAACCATTGATTAGAAGAATAACTGCTTCGGTTATATTAAAAGAAAGAATATGATTTCAAAATTAGTACAAAATAGTCTTCATTTGACTCCAAGCTACATACTAAATATAGTAATATAAAAGCTAATGCAAGAGCTGTGTTAGCTGTGATGCACCGAATCTTTTAACTCTTCACAAATGTATATTATCGTTCATATTGAGATTTAATTAGAAATTATTGTATAATAGCAAGAGGTTTAAAGCTCTCATAGAAGCTTACCTGTTTTGCTTTGGCTTTACAGCCCTCGACTATATCACAGGCAACTTGTGAGGTGTCCTTGCTCTAAAAACATAGAAGGTAAATGGTTTATCAAAAGTGATGTCAATACAACAACATGCTTACCTTAATTTCCGAATAGACAATATCTATGAAACTACCCAGGACTATGATGAAATCGAAAACGTTCCAAGCATCGCCAAAGTAATTCTAAAAACAAATTGATTAAATGGTGTTATCTTTGCTTGAAATCAAAAAAAAGTAATAACTTAGCAATCCTCAACATCTGGTTTACTGACTATTAAAATGTATCAATAATATATATGTATGGTTGATTTTTGGGACTCAACAGCAGATAAATGTCTCGCAGATGTTTCGAATCAAACAATTGTTAAACAGTACCTTAAATCTAAAGGCAGCCAGCTTGAAGACAAACTCCAAGGCGAAAACTGCCGTAAAGACCATATTTAGTGCATCCAGTAGCTCTGTATACCATTCCGGTTGTTGGTAGAACTTCATAGCCAATGTCACCGTATTTATCATAATTAATACGAATATCGTATACTCGAATGATGATGAGGTGACAAACCACCATACTTTATACTGAATGCCATGCTTCGGTATATAACGACGCACTGGCTTGGCCTTTAATGCAAACTCTATGCAATTACGCTGATTCTTATCAAGATCACAATTTTTATACTCTTGTTCGCCCTCGTTCTGGAACGTGACGATAACGAAACCGACGAATATGTTGACCATAAAGAAGGCAATTATAATTATATAGATTATGTAGTAGGCAGCGACTACAGGACGGAAGTTGTGTATTGGACCGCCATTTTCTGTATTGGAATCGATGGAAACGTACAGTAATCTGGGGAAAGAAATATTTTTGTTTAGCTTATGGTACTCTTATATTTTAAAACAATTCATTTGACACTTACGCGGGCCATCCTTCAAAGGTGGAGACTGTGAAAAGTGTAAGCATAGCTTTCGGCACGTCATCGAAATGAAAGCGATTGTTATCCCAGACGCGCTCCTTGAGACGCGGCTTGTGGACATCCCCATCCTCGTAGATCAGATAGGTGCCTCTGCACAGGTTTTAAGGTTTTAAGCTAAGTTATTAATATGTAAAAGTATGTTCATACTCACTGGCAATCCGACTCGATCATTTTAGAACCATCTGAGCAACTGAAAAACTTGCCCTACATAGGTGGGGGGGATTTTATTTGAGATTGTGAATGGAAAGCAAAAATATATTAGCAAAATGGATTAACAAATTCTACGAATTATCTTTTGACAAGTGACACTGAACCATCAGAATGTTGAGATCAATGCCCTTATCGCTGACTGTGAGTTAACTGCGTATAGTACTATAAAAGAACTAAGGCCTAACTATTTTAACTGCAGCATAAGTAGCACTAAACTGTATATATGTATATATGTACATACAGGGTCTCATATGCAAACACATTTACACACATTGATTGCACCTTGCAATTAAATTGCTTGGAAGGGGCGGACACAACAGTTTATTGTTTTTTTTTTTTTTTTAATTATTATTTTATTTTAGTATGAGCAGTAGCACAAAATACATATATACAGACAACACATGGGTGCATATTATATATACGCTTTCGGTTGTTACATACAGTATTGGGAGGGGTCTAGTTAGCTCACAATTGATGGAATTTAAAATTGAAAAAAGATACAAAGTACAAGTATATTACAAAATGCAATTTTTTGCACGATGCCAAGCTGTAAGTATGTTTGTTGAATTGACCAGAACTGGTATTAGTTGTTGGTTGTTTTTATAAATGCATATAAGTAATGAACAAACGTAGTAAGTCTTTAACAGCAAAGCGTTAAAGCCATTAAACGGTGCTTTATTAATTGCTGGGCCTTGTCTGAGTAGATCAAGTCAGAGAATGGAAAGAAATTAATTTTTGTGAAAGCACAATTTTCTTGTCTATACATACGGTATTTGGAGAAGTTGGAAAACGTCTATAATGTAAAAAATAAACAACATGTTCGGTTACCAAAACTGCAAATTGTACAAGTAGTATATTTTCTCAGCTAATGAAGAAAGAATTGAAAGTTTCATAACTAATCAGTAAAACATTTCAAATGGGCTTCAGATTTCATTTCTAACAACCGAGACAGTGAAAAAAATTAGAGACCGACTAAAACTTTCACAAAGCTGCGAAAAAACCTAAGAGAAATTCAAAATATCTGTGAGCATATCGACAAAAACTAACTAAAGCCTCAATCTAAGGTGAAATATATATTATTACTGGCTCAGATTATTACAAAGTTGGCTTGGAAAAATAGTGAAAAAAATCTAAAATATCGGTTGGGCTTTTCGAACGAACCTAAGCTTTAATCTAAAGCGGGTTAGAATTGTCATTCTAATTCATTTCTGTCACTATTAAGATAAAATTTATTTTTGACTCTCTTCTGAGGAAAGAATAATGAATATTCAGTTAGAAATTGGTGAATATATTTTTCAATATCAGAAAATTTCTACAATTTCTATTTCAGAGATAAAATGCATAAAAAGGACTGTCCACATCTTAATTATCGCCAACTGCACAAAATAATTATATATGTTTGCACTACTTATATATTTATACTGTCAAAAAAATATTATCAGCATACAAAAAAAAAAGTCACTTGGTATTATGACCTAAATAAGTAATAATAATTAATATGCCTGCTGGCATAGCAACACAGATATTAAAGCACATTTAAAGCAGCTCGTAATAACACATTTCCATAGCGTTTTTTAAATATTTTATTTCGAAAGCGAACACTTAAAGCCATTTCTAATCACCCTTCACCGATACAACGACATTATCTTTCGTTTATTATTGTGATTATTATTATGGTTTGTTTTTAATATAAATTCAGAAAAAATTACCTTAAAGAGCTGTACTCCAATAACGGCAAACATGAATTGCAACAAATATGTAACCAACATGATATTACCAATGGTCTTAATCGCGACTACAACGCACTTGACCACATACTGTGCATATATGTATGTAGGTATTGTTTGAGAGCGGTATGGCCAGTATTTGTTATAAGTAGGTTTTGGGGTGTGTAAGTTCAAAGGAGAGACATATTTGAAGTCGATTTATGGTATGTTCAGTTATTGCGTGTGTGTGTGTGTGTGTGTGTGTGTGTGGGCAACATTTTCAAAATATTTGCAATGAAATTAAAAATTAATGTTTTTGTAAATATTAAACACACACAGATTTTTTTTGTTTTTTTTTGTTGCAGTGTTTGCCAAAATTGCACAAACGAAACGAAAAAAGAGAGAAAAAAGAAGAAAATACATTTATACGGGGTTCATTATGATAGGCGTTTTAAAAGCTAAAAATAAATGTGTTTATAGATTATTGACACAATAGTAGGACAATGAGGGGGGGAAAATCATAAAGAGATTTATTAAAATGCTTCTAGCCGTTGAGCGACCGAACTCAGGATAATTATCTAAAATATTGTAAGAGATGTTAACGTAAATAATGAAAGCAAAATAAGAGTTGTGTTAATATCCATGATTGATTAATACGAGCACGCTTCTGACTAACGATTGGGTTTTCTAAATACAATACAAGTATTTGTGTACAAATTGTTCTGCTGTCTTTTGATATTAAAGTTGTTGGTTTGTTAATTTGATTGACGCTTTGTAGAATTCGATTTCGCCTTGATGCTAGGGTGCAAGGATGGTCGCTGCATGATGCTAAATGAAACTTAAAGAAACCAAATTGATTTGTTCTCTCATATATATATATATATATATATATATATAATTAGCAACAAAAATCATGTGCTTTTTCGTTGTGGGAATGTGTGTGGAGGGTGCTGATGATATTTATTGTATACTATACATAGCTATAGTTTTGTCTGGTTCGTATTGGATAAACAAAGTAATCGCAGAAAATGGGTGTGGAATACAAGATTTTACAAATATATACGTTGTTATATTCTGGTGAGTTGGGTTAGCTGATATCATATTGTTTCTCTCTCCGTCAAGTTTACTGAAAGAAATCTTTAGATATTTAAAAAAAGCCAGAAAGTTGATGTTTTCTTTCAGTGTACTTAACATTTAGCTGATTATATTGATTAGAATTGCTTGTAAAATTGGTTAGTTACCCCTTCAGGATTTCTCAACTTTTTTCTCTCAATGTAAATTTTTTTTTATTCTCTATCTACTTTTTAGATTTATGTGCACTCTTTGGCAGAAGTTTAAGGATATTGTGTTCTATTTTTAACGATTTGAAATCGGCTCTTTCGATCAGGCCTATATACAGAAAGTTGTACAATGATAACGGTGGAAATTATTATTGCAATACGTTTGGCATATTGACATTATAGGCATATTTACATAATTTCATAAAGTTTGTATTTCTCAAAACTGTTAGTTAAAGATTGAAAAAGGCAATTATTCTTTACAAATTAGTAGCATAAAGCTTAAACGCAAAAATGTGTTCAACAATAATTGAAAAAGAACAAAATTGTTATTTATAAGAAAGCAATTCAAACTTGAAACAAATTGAAACAACAAAGATATGTTAATACAGTTGGATATTGCATGTGTGTGTGCTTCAACGAGGGTCGTATACTATTGCTACAATGCTGGATCTTTTCATTAATCATACAATATGCGATTAACTATAATCTTAAGTCTAGACTCTAGAGTATACCTTAGTTCTACGTGCCTGTAATTTATGCGGTCAATACATTTACAGCACAGTAAATATAATAAATACTAATTAGGAATTGGTTCCACCTACACCTACATACTTGTATGTAACAGGGAAGTAACTGTTATGTATATTTTCAATAGACGCTTCGTCAGCAAAAACTCTGGATCTTCAGTAATTTATATCAGTTGATAAGACCGATAAATTAATAGTTTTAACTTTCTTAATATAAGTCTGAGTTTAAAGCTCTTTAAACGAGCTGTTGAAATCAAATTTTGTACAACTTTGTAACTCCTTTATTTACAACAAGACAGAGAGCTATAATCGGGCACTCTCGACTATGTGATACGCTGTACCAGTGCTTGCTTTTAAGTGACGTCAGCTATTCTATAATATTTTAAGCGAACTTATTAGGAACATCTTCAGATTTTATAAGCTTTAAAATTTGCCTTCAATTTATCATTTGAAAAGGAACCTCACTGGTTCACTTGGCATTAAACGAAAGCTGAAACAACTTGCCAAAGAAGAATCTATCTAGATCAAAAAGTGATTCAGTATGCGGTTTTTAAATGATGATGGAAGTTTGAGGAATAAAGTAGCCTGCACAAATAATAATATGAAAAAATTGTTTAAAACAAGGTTTTGCTGATATTTTCAATTCAAGAAACTGTTTTTCCCACACTTTTGTCTTCTTTCACAAAATATAATAGTCAAGCAAGCCTAGCAATATTTTTGTATCGATAAATGTTGAACAGATAAAGGAACCTATTTCGAGAACTAAAAAATGATGAAGCAGCTTAGAGGGCTCTTAGAGCGCTATAAAGACTATTCGATTCGAGTTGAGGTTTCTCTGTAGGTGTTCAAATAAATAAACAAATATCTCAAAAGCTTCAGGTACAGCATATACCATTAAATGCTATATTGTTATACAACAAATAAACAAAATTTAAATAATAACATAACTATGCTATAAGCTTCCTCCTCTATTAAACTTATTTCTACTTATTGGGTATGTGCTTCAAAAATTGAAGCGCCTTAAGAAAAGTCATACCTTAAATAATTGGACTCCTATAACGGCAAACATGAATTGGAGTAGGCATGTGACGAGGACAATATTTCCGATAGTCTTAACAGCGACTATGACACACTGAACAACATGCTGTATACGATACGATAGTATAGTATTATATATAGTATATAGTAAGGTAAATATAAACTGTAGTTGAAATTTATAGCCTATATGCTAATGGCTGTTATTTTAATAATGGTCCTAGTAATTAGTATGAACAGTTACACATCTTTGAACTCTGTTTTCGAGCCACGCCCATATACTGCAGCATTCATTTATTCCACGCCCATTTTCGTTAGTAATTAAAAATCAAACAAATTGTTGCTCAAATTGTTGTTTCTTTTTTTGTGGGTATTGCTATTATTATTCTTTTTTGGTTTGTACTGCAATAAGAGACTTTGTGGTGCACCCTACACCCAGCATTTCAAGGTTTTACTGTTTTCTCTATCATAAATGCACGTTTTAAGGACCCAAAACCACATTTTATTCACTGTCGATTGGATGCGAGTCGAATTTCAAATTTCACGCTGGCCGGCAAAATAAACGAGTACAAGTATTTATTATGTCGTGAAATTAAAAATAAAACGAACTTGAACAAAATTAAAAAAAAGAAGAATAGTATCAAATTTAAATAAGTTGTTGTTTAATAGAGAAGCATGTGAAAAAAAGTAGTAGTAGAACTGTGCAGTGAAGCGTTGAATTGGGCTTACCTTGAGACCTTTGGCGCGATTAATGGCTCTCAGTGGCCTTAACACACGGAGCACACGAAGAATTTTCACGACTGAAATCGCATTCGAACTGCAGTTGAAATCGATGAATATATAAATATTCGGGAAATACTGTTAACTACTGGGTTAGAGTAGTTTTGTTTTAGTTTCTTTCATTTTACCTGGATGCTAGAGATATCAATGAGACACAGACCACAAGTAAATCTAATAGATTAAATGCGGATCTGCAAAAGGCTCCGTCGTGTAGTACGAAGCCATATGAAATCAATTTCAGAATCAGTTCTATTGTGAAAACTGCCGTGAAAAAATAATCAAATTTATTGAGCACCTGAAAAGTGAAGTCATGATAGTGAATGTGGATAACTACAAGGTATCAAGGTTTAGCACTTATAGTCAGTCGTAGTGTTGGCCAAGTTTTGCATTTCTACAGTTGATCAAACGCATTCACAACTTACAGTGCTTTTTCATGGCTATTCGAGTTCGAGTATTTCGGTACCGGAGCTACTTACTTTGTTCAGATCGGCGTCGGCTTTCAATGGATTCTCTGCGGCCAACATGGCCGATGAGAACATAATGCAACATAATATAATATTTCCAAAGTTGCTGTGGTTACAGAGCCAGTGGCAGAAGACGCGAAACCTGTGAATACAAATCATTTATGGAAATAAGAACTAGCACAACAATTGTTTCTTCAAGTTACAAGGATGCGGGATTAGTTTAAAAGCAAAAAGTTACATCAACATGCCATTTATTGATCAGTTACAATCAAAAGAAATTTTGGCACTACTCTAAAATGTTAGCAATTAATCTTTTTTTATTTGTCTCAAATAAGGAAAAAATAGCGATACTTTCGAATGGGAGACTAAATAGGGAAAAATCAAAAAACATTGAGATTAACGTATAAATTTCGTATACACACATAATACATAATCAAAGATTTAAAACGAAATAGAAAATGGTTAACAAACACATACATATACCACATATAATACGTATAATAATTATAAGGACAGCATATCAACTTGTAGGAAATCGGAGAAACTTAATCATACTAAGTCACTAAAACATAAAAACCTGTTCGTTTGTGAGAAAAGAAAGAATGATGTGCCCGGTGGAATAGGTAGAATTTTCGTTGCCGTATTGACCTCAGACATACGGCGTGGGCGTGCCGTTATTATGCCTTCTTCATCCACTATATAAAATCAAATTTGGGGTTTCGTTGTTGATATTTAGCCGATTTAGAAAAAATACGATTTTAAACAAAATATATATTTCTATGTTTAACAAATAAGTTTTAACTTAATACGCACTAAAGTAATATAAAAGTAAATGTAAATACTAACTTAAAATCATACGATTGTAATGAGAATTATAGTCGATTGCAGACGACTATTTAATACAATGTACCGCTGTTGGCTTTCGTCAATCGGAATTATCTAGACAACGAGCTTTACTTTATAGTACAACTTAAGTAATATATGGAGATCAGAAATGGCTCGCAAAAGAAAGAACTGTTTAAACAATAAAGAAAATATGGACAATCGGGCCGATTTATATATTTAAGATTGTCTATCTTCCAAATCCATAATGCAATAAGAAATCGTAAAGTGAATTCTTAGATCAGAAAAAGACAACTTTTGGGTACAGTGTATTGTTATAAAAAAAAGCTTTTCAAACATTACATAACTTATTTTTTAAATGAAAGAAGAACGATTCAAAAACTATTTTTCCAAATATCTATAAATATGATTTGTGGTTGGTGGTCAGGTGATTTAAAAATTTGTAACCGTGTCTCATTTGTTATTTAAATAAATGTAGTATCACGTTTTTCCAAAGTATCAATTCAATGATTCAAATCATGCGTTGAATTTTAAAAACTTGTATGAACGAACTGAGTTTATTAATCAATTTTTAGCAAGTAAGTCCAAGCAATATGCGTAGAAACGTTTATACGTGTATATAGGATGAGTTATGTATATACAATTATTTGTGGGGCATAATGTGCATATCTAACTGTAGAGATGTCCATAAAGCAATTATTTGTGTAAAAACTTTCGAATAAAGCCGCATGCAAGACAACGGGAAACTAGAGAAGAGTTTAACAAAATTTTCAAAATCCAATAAAAACACAGGAATCACAAATAAATGTATAGTGTGTGTGTGCATGTGCATGTGTGTGTGTTGTGTGTGTTTGTTATTCTTTTCTCGCTGTGTAGAATTACCTGTTTGTATGACTGAAAATGAATAATGCACTGCCACGGGGCATGGGTTTTTTATTCTTCTTCATGCTGACTTCGGATAAACGCCTGGGTCGTGCAGTAACACGTGCTGATACTTCGGAATGGGAGTCTTTCGATTAATATAGAATGTGTGTTCCAATATTTTGCAAATAAGCGTCGCGGCAATAAAGCATCAGCAGCATGAATTTTATAATAATGAATTTGATTTGCTTGTTCTTGTTTTCAGTAAGTGTCCAAGCACCAATTAACTTAGGCCCTATATTTATCTTAATTAGCTTATACGCTTTTGGTGAAATTTATAAAGCTATTTTATGGCCTATAAGGAACTAGTTTGATATTCTGTTTTCATTTTAACTTTAAAATCAATTTTCCAAATATGACAAATGTATTTAGAAACCATCAATAGAATTGGTCTGGTACTTTACATTAACCAGTTAATATCAATATCGACTGAGAAGAATCGAATAGTATTATAAAGTATAGTAAGAAAGCGTATGTCAAACTAATTCCTTCTAAATCAATTAAGTACTAACTTAATTGGGGCTTTTTTTAACACTGTTCGACATACCATCTTGCTCTTCCTCACACATCTCGCGACCCTCCTCATCGGTTAGACTTTCATGATCCCTGTTAAATTTAAAGTTAAAAAATGAGTATGTTTTTAATAATTTAGGGCACTGTGCAAGCACATTTTATCATCGTCCATCTCATGATCCTGATCCATATCCATATCAATATCAATTTCCATATGTTCGTCATCCTCACCGTCAATGGTGGGCGTGGGACTGCGGGACTTTTTCATGCCTCCATCATCGATCTAAGATTATTAATATTATATTATTTGTAGAGTATTAGAGATTTAAGCGATGATTGTACGCACTGGTTCTTCTTCTTTCTCCACATCAGACAGTGAATCAGCGTCGGCCAAATTATCGACAGCAATGGCCAAGAACACGTTTAGCAATATATAATTACCGCAGATAAACAATATAATAAAGTAAATACAAGCCAATGCACCAATCGATGAGACCCCACCATAGGCATTAATGCCATCATACATAACCATATTCCAATCTTCGCCGGTCATTATCTGAAATGGAACATTGGAGTGTATTTGAAATGTATGCTTATTTATGAGATAAAGCATTCCTACCTGAAACACTGTCAGCAAGCTTTGCCAAAAGCTATCGAAATTCGAGCGAGACTTCTCGATTTTGCCGTCAAAATTGAATTTACCACCAAATACTTGCATGCCCAATAGTGCAAATATCACAATGAATAGGAAGAGCAGTAACAAAAGCGAAGCAATTGATTGAATTGAATTCAGCAGGGAAGCCACCAGATTTGAAAGCGAACGCCAGTATCTGTAAGGTAATGCGTAAGATTCCAATTGAATGATTCTGAAGTGGGGTTTACATACTTGGTGACCTTAAAGACACGCAACAAACGCACGCAACGCAGCACCGAAACGCCCAGAGGGGGCATCATGCCCGTATTTGTGAGTAGGGTTTCTGAAATACTGCCAATTACCACAAAGCAATCGAAACGATTAAACAGTGATACGAAATAGCCTTGAAAACCCAGGCTATACATTTTCAGCAACATTTCACAGGTGAAGAGACCAATGAAAAAGATATTCGTATATTCTGTAATGAAGTGAAGGAAATCATTATTTTCTGCCATATAAAATGTATTTTATTTTGAAGCTTACCTTGAAAATGGTCCAACCATTCCTCCTGGCCGTAGTGCTCTGTCGCTAGAACGCTTGTATTTAGAAATACTAGAACTATAATCAACCAATAGAATGCTTGTGATTTAACAGCTTTACGGCAGGCACGTCGCATGCGTCGGTTTCCACGATCGAAATCCTTTTTCATTTTGCGCCAACGTGATTCCGTTTGCTGCATTTCCTGGTTCTCCTCACCCAGATTCTCAAGGGAGTCCATCTCATTGGGCTGTTTGGTTTTGCCGTCGGTCATTAGACTGCCCACTGCATCCGGTTCAATGTCCTCGGCCTGTGTTATCCAATCGAGGTAGCCCCTCAAATCCTCCTCAATTTGTTGCTTTTCGCGCAATTTTTGAAAATCACCCCTATTTTTGGCCTTGTTACGTTCCTTGGAGAACTCACCGGACAACACACCAAGAATTAGATTCATAACGAAGAAAGCGCCCAAAATCACCATAGAAATGAAATACATCCACTGCCAGGTGCTACCCATAGCATCTTGAATCTAATTAGATCTTAAATTAGCTTGAAAGAGTCCTATTTTCCCCCCCCTTTCCCATACTCACAAAATACAGCACGTCGGTCCAGCCCTCAAGGGTTACGCACTGGAATACTGTCAACATAGCCAGTCCAAAGTTATCGAAATTGGTGATGCCTGAGTTGGGGCCTTCCCAGTCGTCGTAGCATTTCATGCCCGAGGGACACTCATAGCCAGTGCCGCAGGGCCTGGGATCATCCTCCAAATCACCTATATATCGATTTTTTGTTTTTGGGGGATTTCGTTTTTAGGTTTCATGCATTAGTAATGATTTTTTGATGAGAAATGTTTGACTCTGCAAGTTTGTGAAGTTTTTTTTTTGTGTATTTGTGTGTTGTTGTTGCGGAATATGCCGCTTTGGCATATAAAATATTGTCTTTTTAAACTTCAACAGCTCCATTAACTAGTAGATTAGGTTTTAAATACACACAACGGAAACTCGGCATATATGTATGTAGTATATTGGATGGTGTAGGGCATATCTTTAGTGTTTAACGGTACTGAACAACGAAACTTTGTAAGTAAAATGTGTGTGTATAATGTTTTTGGTTTTTTTTTTGAATACTCTGCCCTAGTTGCCGTGCACTAATCTACTATTGATAGAGCCTTCTCTGACGTTGAATTTTAATGCGACATATCTGGTGGCATTCAAGACATTGAATGATATTCGTACTATATATATAAGATATACTAAAGAAAAGGCTTACCTGTTACCGGATCACGACACGACTTGTGCAATTTACCAGAGAATAATTCTAAACCAATGATGGCATAGATGATTATTACAAATATGACCAGGAGTGCAATGTGAAACAATGGCACCATGGCCTTTAAAATTGAATTAAGCACAACCTGTAGACCTAGAAAGCGTATGAATAGCCAATACAATAAACATGGGGTTACACAGAGGTCACTACAGTACATACAAAAGCATCTGTGTAGCTATGCTGCACAACACTTAAGGACTCGTAAGGCCTACTTAGGGCGTACAAAAAAATACAAATGCTATCTAAATAATAACTGAACTAGTGGTAACCAAAAATATACAATTCACATTCAATATTATTGTTTTTCCTTAAACTTAAGATAAATGAAGTAAAATTATATTTTAAGGAAAATTAAATTAAATTATTCGTATTTCTGACAATGGATAGGAAGCAATCGGGTCCGACTATATTATACAGCTACAATAGAAAAGAGCTATTTTAAAAAGATTCTTTCTTTACAAGACTTGTGTGGAAACTGATTTCGTGTTATTAGGCGACCTGTTATTTTACTTTACGATGTGAAAGAGTTTTAGCTGCCAAGATATGGTTTGAGAAGAGTCTTTGTTTGGCAAGGACAGATTGACCCTCAATGTAAATAAAATTAGCATCTAAAGAGTATGCTAATCTTCACAAGAAAGTTTGTCCTTAACACTACTCTCATCCTACAATCTTCCTTTCCTTTAGATTCGCTCTTTTTTATTCGTTATGTAGAAAGATTTATAGGCAACGATCCTTGGTCTTTAGCATTTTTGTATTGTGCAGCATACAACACCAACTACGTTGCTGACCGTAGTTCTTGAATATATAGATTTATTTTGTGCTCTACAGGACACATCAAATTTTGGTGCTAAGCTCTTACTTGGTACGCCCGATACAAGTCTCAATGGACGCAGCACACGAAAGGCACGCAAAGCTTTCACGTCAAAGCCTTCCTTCATCAAATTGGACAGTGCTGTACTTATCATACTGGAAAAATTTTGGCATACAATTTCATACGTTTCAGTCGTTTTTTGTTGTTGTAAATTGGATATAAGGTAACATAGAAAATTGTTATTATGTTGGCCATCAGCATCGCGATTGCAATACAGGGCCGAGCGCTTTGCGCTTTTAACGGGCATATTTTATATGCTTACCCTATAACTACAATTGTAAAATCTAATAAATTCCATCCATTTCTTAGATATGCACCATTATGTAACATAAAACCATATGCTAAAATTTTCATAACACATTCCGCTGTGAATATTACTAAGAATACGTTTTCGATTTTCTCCTGTGGTTGGGTGTGTTCGTGCGTGCGTGCGTGCGTGCGTGCGTGCGTGAGGGCGGGCGGGCGGGCGGACAGGGGGATGTACGAGTACACAAATATTGTTTTTGTTTTTTTTTTTTTTTTGGTTTGATTGATGGTGCCATGGGTGGTTTGTGATTATAATATGATAATGAAAGTTTTGAGGTAATGAGACGCATGTAAATAACAGAAAGAAGATATTTAATTAGATTAATAAGGAATTGTATTATTTGTATGGTTGTGTGCTGCGAACCAGCAGCGTTAACTTACCAAGGTCTGATTCGTCACGTTCGAATCGCTGCCCGGATAAGGCGTGTAAACGGCCAAGGCAACACAATTGGCAAAAATGGTTAGCAAAATGAGGAATTCGAATGGTCTGGCGGTGCGCAAGGATTAAAGAAAACCAGCAACTAAATTTGTACTAAAAGCAGCAAATACGACTAGTAGTAGAGTTGTGTTGTGCCATTTAAGCAAATGAACTAGTTCATTGTGGTGTAAATGAACTTATTTGTTACTTGAAATTATGTATGTATTCTTTAATAGGCGCTAATCTACTCAAGCAGTATAAAGTTATGCGGTTGATTGACAATTAAAAATCCACTTTCTACGTATATAGATTACTGACCAAATTATTTGAAAATATTCAAAAAAAACGTTTCTATGTTGAAAGGAATTCGTGCTTTTGTTTAAGCCAGTGCTATCTAAAATATATTTATTTTAATAAAGTGTTGATAAATGATAAGGCACAAGCTGTGTTATTAAAGAAGGAAAACATAACGTTGGTGAGTTGTGGAAATGGTAGAATTTTGAAATACCAAGGCCTGTTCCCGTTTTTGAATCTAATCATATTATTTACTATTAAAAGTGGTGGTAATTTTTGTTCAATAAGCTTTGCCTGCGAACTAACAATTGATACAAATTCTTAATTATCTTTAGTATTGATTTTAAATATACTGAACAGTGGTTATTCAAACAAATTGTATACATTTTTATTGGAAAACAAGTTGAAGAACAAAACTAAAGTCATCATCAGCTCATTTTATTTGTTATTTGAAAGGTTCTGCGAATAGTTTAATAAACATTCAAATAAACAATAAACAGTTCAGTTCAAAGCACTAGAAACCTTCATGAAAATAATCTGTTATTTACATCTGCTTGAACTTTTATCGGGAGCTTTATGATGATTAATTATGATTATCATTAGTTTTCTGTGCACTCAAAAGTACGTTTCGGAAACGGGAAATGGACTTAAATAAAGAAGTCTTTATGAACACAAAATGTGTGGTGATCTATAAAATAGAAGAAGCTATTAAAAAGCTATAATATCTAATTGGGCTATTTGTTAAGCCTAGAACTAGTAAGCATATGAACTAGTTCAGGCCAACACAACTCTACGATTATGTGAATATGCAAGTTTTGTTGTGGATGGTTTGGCAAAAGGATACTTCCATTCCACAATGCGTATGCAAAGGGCACGAATGGGATTCTTGAGGCCTAAGCAGAATAGTGCACGTTGTGGACGGTCTGGTTGCGGTTTTCCTCGACGCTGTGGTCGCTTCGAACCAGCACCAGCTGCGCCCGCCTTCTGGCCACCAGCTCCGCTGGGCCCAATGGTAGTGCCATTCATAGTTTCCGGAATGTTTGCAATGCCCATGGAATCGACGCCTGTGGATGGTTGATATGATGATGTGATGGACTTGAAGCGTTTTGAATCAGTACTTACCCATTATATTGCTGCCGCCACCAAGATCCGTACCACCGCCATCGTAGCGTGCCGAATTTGTCATTTCACCTCCCCCGGCTGCGCCGCCATTGCCGTTTGGCGTAAAGGTGCCACCGCCAGTGGCGCCACGTTCAAAATCCATAATGTTGAAAAATTTCCCGGAACCGGGTCCGCCAAAATTATCAATTAGCTCCGCTGAGCTGGAGTAGAAGGGTGAGAAGGCTTGTGTGTCGTCCTCCTCCTCCTCCTCGTAGTACTCGCAATCGTCTTCGTCTCCGTCCTCACCTTCGTTTGCGTCGTCTTCGTCTTGTTGTTGCTGTTGTGCTGCCAACTGCTCCTGCTCATCAATATCAATAGTTGTGCCCTCGGGCTCACCTATTTCGTCCTCGTATTCGTCCTCTACTACGTCCTCGTCGTCGTCGTCCTCTTCGGTTATTCTACATGTCCTCCTTATTGAGGGTCGATTGCGTGTATTTTTTCTTATAATGACATCGGCATTATCATCAACATCACCGACATCATCGAGCGAATCGTCATTCCCGTTGCGCACACTAGAAATAATGGCCACATCGTCTGCATCCTCGTCAGAGAGTCCACGTCTATCGCTGTAGCTCTCGCAGTCTGTATTCGCGGCTCTCTCCTTGTTACTCTGTTCGGCGGCAGCGGCCGCTACGGCAGCTACTATTGCTGCAGTGCGAAGCGTCTGCGAGCTAAGATCCTCCTCTGCCTCAACCGCTATGCGATCCTCAACCTCGCCGCCAACGTCGTCGTCGTCGTCCTCGTCCTCGCAGTCGTCGGCTATAAAGCTGTGCACGTCGCCGACACCAAAGCCATGCAAGGTGCTATTATCGCCGGTGATATCGCAGTTGCAGCTGTTGCTGCTGCTACTGTCGCCTCCAATGGCGCTGTAGCTGCTCTCGTCGTCTCTGCCCCCGCTGCTGAAGCTGCTGTTGGTGCTCCCCGCACTGGTCACACTATTCTGGGGCTGTTGTTGCCAGGCGCTGGCCGCAGCGGCCGCGGCGGACTGGGCCGCAGCAAGTGCCTCCTCGGGGGTTAGGCGTTGGCCGGCCGGAGCACCTGTGCCGCATGAAGTGCAGGAGGACTTGCGGCGCTTGTTGCCGTTTCCACCGTTGTTGCTGGAGTTGTTGTTTTTATGACGACCTCGCTTAAAGTCGAGCTTGTAGGTGCTGTTATTTACAATTTGTGTGGTGACCGTGCTGAGTGCTAGCTCGGTATTGGTCGAACGCTTCCTGTTGTTGGCCGTGTGCTCCTCCTCAAGCGGACAGCTGTGGACATTTAGTTAAGGGAGATAGTACTTTAATTAGAACGGTATTTTATTATGTATAGTTGTGTTGGTATTTATACATATAATCAAGAATCTTGGGGCTCTTTCACTAGCAATTTCCAAATAAAAATCAATACAACACAGAGTTGCCCGAATATGAATTTTTGAACATGCGCAGGTTTCGAGAACTCTCAAATGAAGTGACCTATTTGTTCGCTTTTTTATTTCCATGCAATGATCTCAAAAGGGTTGCGATTGCATCGGATTTCAATGCATTTCATCGAGAATTTGTTGAGACTACATATTAACTACACTTTGCTAAATGGGAATGCAACTATTTTTAGTTGACTACGCAATGATTGAATGGGCTTAAGAATTACAGATCTATCTACATATATACACAAATCACGGCTTTCGACTCTATGGGATCCATCAAAGCATCATTTAGTTAAGTTCCGTACTTATATCAATGCAGATAAGCAACAAAATCTGCAGTTGTGCGACATATTGCAGAATATTTGTTTCATTTGGCTTATCATCTAGAAAATCGGCAGAAAATTAAATATAAATACGAATGCAAGCTTAGTTTATATAGCTTTGAGATTGTGAACAGTATTGCTAAAATCTGTAGCGCAAAAAACAACTTAAAGCCTTTTTCTCCTAAGGATTAAATACCAAGGTATATATACTATATATTATAACTATATAAATCGATTTATTTAGTCAGGCTGATAATGAATTTATGTACTGTAAGGGGTCAGATCAGATTATTCTTAGTTTGTAGTCAACAATTGTGAAGTTATTGTATTTCAAGATAAGATTTACTTTAATAATTTGAGAAAGAAGAATCAGCTTAGTTGCTAAACTCTGATGGGCCTACGGGAACCGTTTTAGTAATCTTTTTTAAATGCTTAAGAGTAACTAACTAGTTTGATTCAGTTAAATCAATGCTGATCATTCTTTGTTTTTAGTCAACAATTGTGAAGTTATTGCACTTCAAGATAAGATTAATATTATTTCTAGAGAAGAATCAGTCTTGTTTTTAAACTCTGATGAGCATAAGGGAATCGTTTAAGTAATCTTTTTAAAATGCTTAAGAGTAACTAACTATGTAGTTTGTTGCAGTTAAAATAATGCTGATTATTCTATGTTTTTATGTTTTTCTATGTTTAAGTAATGCATTTGTTGCTCCCCATCTACAATTTCAAAGCTATGTCTCGCAGCAGCGGCTTGTTCCTCTTCTTTTACTTTTTCAGTGCCTTTATGTAAGTATTACAAGTATAGGTGGTTTTGAGATTTCAGAGTTCCATCACTCTTCAAATCGAAAACAGTAACTTTAAATGAGTCTAGATGATTGTTTTTTAAGCAATAAGACATTTAAAACAGACCTAATAAGCATTTTTGTAAATTGTAAACTGTAAATTGTTATAATAAAAAAGTAATTGCTTTGTTACCTTTCAATATATTCGCCCTGCTTATAAAACAACTTTGTGGACTAGGAACCTAATTCCTCGCTCAATTCTTATAAATAATTTTGCGTGCAATTGTTGTACAAAGTTATTTGTAATTGGATACGAAAAACACGAGTTAGCATGCGCTTCATACACACGGGGACACACACACATGAACTTACATAACAGCGAGTACAACATATAGTATAGAATTGGTTGGATAGACACAGACATAGATACATACGAGTAGTAGTTTAAAAATAGAAACAGCTCTCAAGGTCTAACTTACTATGCCCTAGTCCTAGTAGTATGTTCCAAATACTCAAACTCTTGCATTGCATTGTAAATAAATTTTCTTTCGTGCTCCTGCTGGAGCTGCATATACCTTTGTTGTAGCACCGATGTGGTGGCCAATGAGGAGGCAGTCGGCGGACTGTGTCCCACAGATGCTGGTGCCGATGGCACCGGCAATGTTACGGTTGGGGAACGCTGCTGATGATGATGCTCGGGCCTAACGATTACCACTTCCAAATCACTTTTGGGTGATGGTGAAGCTGCGGCGGCGGCGGTGGCGGCTGCTGCTGCTGCTGCTGTTCCTGTTGCCTTCGATTTTCGATTATATTTTCGACTGCCACGATTCGACGTGTCCGATTTGTGAAGCTGTGCCGAATCGCCCGCCTTCAGATACCGACGACTTGTGGCCGGTGAAGTGGGTGAGGGCTTGCGCTCTATGATTAGAGTGTTATCATCGTAGGCAATGCAATTAACCAATTCCCCACCAACACCTACACCACTGACACCCGCGACCCCCGACCCAGACCTGCCCCCTTTATTCTTATCATCGACATTGTCATAAAGCTTGGCATCCTTTTGCCTTTGGAATTGCAGTTGGCGGCGACGTTGCGAAGATGTCGTTGCCCCAGCTCTCGGGCTTGTCCCATCGATTGTTGTTGCTGTTGTGCTTTGTTGTTGCTGTTGCTGATTCTTGGTCGTAGCACATGATTCATCGATGACCACGCAAGATGCTAAAGATGTTGGTGTTGTTGCTGTTGCTGTTGTTGTTGGCTTAAGTGTTACGTCTCTGCTCGTTTCCTTATCATTATTATACTGATGATTTAATTTATTATTGGTATTAGAACTATCCAAGGCATCATATTTGTTAATTTGTTGTTTCTGTTGTTGCTGTTGTTGCTGTTGTTGCTGTTGTTGTGGTTGCGTTGATGAGGCATGCTCCTTATGGTCGCCTATGGTTGATGGAAATGAGATATTTGCAAAGATGAGGGCAAAGTTTGTTATTAGTTTAGCTCTTATTACGATGTGGTTGTTAAGCGACTATATGTGTGCTGAGACTAATTAGATAAATATACATATGTATATAGATGAAGGCGACCCATGACGGAGGAGGTTATGCATGTTTATATAGTTGTGATTAAATGAACAGAATGTGTGATTGAATGGTTGAATAAAAGAGATTTCTAGTAAATGATATGATTAAGTGGAAAAGTAAGTATTTCTAAATGTGTGTCTTCTATACATATTGATTGGATGTTTGATAAGTGTATATATTTATTAATATTTGATAACTAATGGGATGGAGTATTAAGGTAAATTTAAATACATCTACGGTATGAAAAAAAAATACGTCATTAAAAATATACTTTGTGCTCTAAAAAGATTGAACTAATATTGATTATACATTTTACGAAACTGTCAAAATATTCTAAACTCTTTTCTGCGAATTTTATTTTTATTGGCAGCATTTTTCACTTGAAAATCTCAATTCCCACGAACTCTTTTTGGATACTCGCTCTCAAGGTGATCTTATAGGGGCCCAGAACATTTTTATAATTTGAAGGATTGTTTCCAAAATGTTTATAAACAGCTTTCTTGGTATCTTGAACATTTTTATTAAATTTATAATAACAGTTAATTCCCGCTGTTTTAAAGCTGTTAAGACATGAATTTTAAATTGTTATTAAATTAGTTTGTTTTGAAAAATGAGGATACTTTAGTTAAAAAAATTGGTGAAGAAAATAGGCACAAAGCATATGCCTTCAAAATTACTTATTAAACGAAATCGACAAAACATCGAGTTGTTACACCTGAGGCGAAAAATAAGCCAGAAGTATAATATCAAAGAAATGCTATAAAGGAAGTACCCAAATCACGTTTAAACAATGAACATAAAAAGCCAACATTTGCAACTCAGTCGCAATTAATTTCGATTTGTAATTTCAATTTCAAAATCAAATTTCTATAAATCAAAAAAGGAAGATATATTTTTCGCAAAAAATGTCGTTCCAAGTATAGGCAAACCTCTAACAACATCCTTCAAATATGATTAAAAATAACGCAATACAATTGATTTAAGTTGTGCTGGAAGCATAAAGACAATCTATTGCGCATACGCCGCGTAGTACCTGTATTCATATTTGTAGTTTCCTGCCCACTGCCAGTATTATTTTCGTTTCATGTGCTGTACGATGGTTCGACTGTGAAAAACTCACTCCTTCCAAATGCGGTCGTCGTCAGCAACAGGTGTGTTTTGTCTCAGCGCAGTGACATATCGGCACATTCGCATGCAAAGCAGCTAAGCACACTCAAGCTATGTATTCTGTCACTCGCACACACACACACACATACACATGCGCACAAACTTGGCATTTAGTTGATGTTTATATTGAGATTAAATTTAGCTGCCAAACTGGTAGACGGTGGTGAATTTTTCGGTTTATTCAGGACGCACTAGTTTATTTTTTATGTATTTGTATATTTTTGAAACGGATGCAATTTTTGTAAACTTATTTCGTTTTAAATTTGGCAATATTTAAAGTCTATGGTTTTCCGGCTAAAATAAAACGTAGTATTTAAATTGTTAAACGTTAAATGATGAATTCATATGCTTGTGTCTTTTCACATTTATTGAATTATGGAAATAATCCAGGCCAATGCAATCTAGTTGAGGCTTTGCCGATAACTTATCACTGATTAGTGCTGGCATACTTACATATACGTATATACATATATGTAGACATTAAGCACGTGCCTGTGTGTATGAGTGTTTGCGGGACTGTGTGCTTCAAATGGCGTGCGTGCGCGCATCAAAACAAAAACATACGCAATGTTTACATTTTCTTTGTTGTCCAACATTTTCCGAGCTGTCAAAATGGCAATCAACTTTGAACACTGCTCTCCCGCTCTCTCAGCGCTCGCCCAGCTTGGCACTCTCACGAAAGCACAATTAAAGTTACTTTGCAGCCGTAGCCAAAAAAAAGAAACCAAATGGAAAACAAAAAAGTTATCAAAAAGCATTTGGCTTTCATTAAATGTTTGTCAGTCTGTCGGCATGTCTGAGCTCTTCTAGCTTGAACATTCGTCATGTTGCGACTATGTATATTCCCTGGCATATAATTTTATTAAAACACACACACACACACACACAAACAGGGACGCACTTTGGGATTAACATCGAGTGGCATTTGCAAATGGGGTCAAGTGCGCGCGCTCCTTTACATTTTTTTATATGTATATATATATATACATATAAATAGGTACAACTAATAGCAGTGTGTGCGCCATTTTACTTTATGGGCTGTCTAGGGAATAGTTAGCATACTTTTGTGCGCAACGCACTTTTAGTTCTGCACCCGTTTCCATTTTCGTTGATTAAATTAAGTAGTGCACAGCAGTTGAAAAGTAAACGCTGACCGATTGACCTACCCAGGCATATGTAATAAGTACACACAGGAGTGCGCTCGCACACAAACACTGACACACTCACACACACTCACACTCACAGACACACGCGCACACATATAACAAGCTGTGTGAAAAATTCAGACGCAGTTGGTGAAAAAAGCGAAAGCCTTACACATTTTCACAACATTTTCACTTCATTTTTTAGCCTTTTCTGGTCACCTTTTCGTTTCATTTGATTTGTGCGCGACGCTTGCATTGGCTGATTATACTTTGCCTATATATATATTTATCAAATATATATTAAAATAGTATTATTTTTCTCACAGGCAACGACCAACAGCAACGTGAACGAGTTTAGGGAATCAGTCACAAAAGCACACTGTGCAGGAATTCCAGCTTTTTGTATGACAATCTTAAAATTGTTGGCAATTGCGGAAAGCTCTGAAGCTTTGCCTCACGTTGGTGTCAATCGATTGTTGTATTGTTGGTATAGTGAGTGAGTGAGGGTTTGAAAATTGGTTGGGTTTGTGAAGCTGCTAAGTAAGGGAGCGTAGACTACTTTTTAAGCCTCCGAATTTGTATATAAAATTGAAAAAATTACGATAAATCTCGAATATTCCTTTCTAAATCGCTAATCGCCTTGTAAATCGAGTAGCAGAAGTCGGGCTGAATCGGAAAAAACTTTAACTTGTTATTTTTGGAACCTAAGAGAATCCGGATCCTGCAGCTCTTCAATATTCCGGGGTGTTAAAAAACTAAACGATTCCATAATATCCTTCTTTCATTTGACATAAGTAAGTGGTGCAACGATTTTAACGACATTTCATAGTAAGAACTAACAGAGTAACAAAAGCGTGGAGTATTTCCTATTTGAGCGCTATATTTAATAACGATAATGCCCCTGCTTTTACGAGCTGCTTCCATTATTACTTTATGCTTTTATACAAAACGGTACAATACTTTATTGCGAATGTGTGTAATACACAGATGGATACAAGATAATATAGCAGGACAAAATTAGACCAATGCAATGATCTCCAAACGTACAAGAATAAGAATATACAAAAATCGGGCGCGAAATAATTAAAGACATGTGGTCCGAAACTGCATTTACTTTCCACTATTATTTTAAAATATAGTTAGAAGTTAAGCTTAACAAAAACAAAAAAATATTGATGGCTAACAAATATTATTTCGATGGTTGCTCTAAGATTTACCAAATATTTATACTTGCCGAAACATTTATACTTTCATGCTTTTTAATTCAAAAAGCGTAATGGCGTAAAGGATATAAGTTTTTAAAATACAGATATTTCATACAAAAATTTGGTTCACCAGACTATAAGCTTCTATAATAGGCAGTCATAAACTGACACCGAGAAGTAAGATTCATCTGTGTGTGCTATCAGAACTTCTGTAACAAAGCATTATTAAATACCACGAAACTTTATAGAAATTCTATACTGATTTGCCTTTAACTGGTTTTTTTGTAATCATATCTTCCGGTTTTAACATTCAGCAAATTATGAACAGTCTAACCTATCGCTTCATATTTAAAAAGATCCGGTGGGTATTCTCGAATAATTCTTCTTTCTTTCCATTTTATAACTATTTATTGTTAATAAAAGCATTGTCTATAAGAACAAGTGTTTTCATTAAAATACGATTTAATTAGCGAGTAGATCGATGAATGCTTTTAAAAATGCACGAGTATATTTCTTGGAAGACATGAACAAATCGCGTATTAAGTCAACACATAAAAACCATAACAAATAACATTTTTGTTTACAAACAAACCACGAAACGTGTCAAAGAATGAAAAACATGTACACATCGCGTATATGTCCACTACATATATAGTATACTCGTATATACCTACATACATAAATACATTATATTATATTATATATATGTATATAGTGCACATACATATATACTTAGCCATTGAAATTTATTTTTATTTTCTGCTTTCCACTCGCATTAGAATGCTGCTCTCTCGCTTGCACGCACATTTGTTTTCGGGCCGACCGAACAGCTGTTTGAGGGAAACGCATGCGCAGAGAGCTTAGAGAGCGAATAGTTGAGAATTCGAAAGATTGAGATTTTATTGAGCGTGTGTGTGAAATGTCAAATTAAGAAAATTTGTTTTGTCACTTTTACGTGCAGCGGGGATTTTCATTTTCAGTTTCGCTTAACTTTACTGCTGACTCATCGCAATTTCGACTTGAGTCCAATAAATCAAAAACAATAAATTGAAATCCACTGCGAAATGTGTTCTATTGCTATCGAAAGGAACGTACTTTATAAATACTTATAAGCATTGGAAAAATGCTGCTTTCCTACAATCAAGTAATGACTAACAGCCATTGAAAAAATAATGAATGATTTGAAAGGAACGTACTTTATAAATACTTATAAGCTTTGAAAAAATGCTGCATTCCTACAATAAAGTAATGACTAACAGCCTTCGCAAAAATAATGAATAATTTGAATGTGGGGCAGCATTTTGATTTGAGCGAACAACCAACAGAACCATTTAAAGTCGGAACTTTTACTTTTGGTAAAATACTAAGACAACATAAAATATTACAAAATTTTGAAGATTTCTTTGTAGTTATTTCTATAAAGGGGTGTTATCTAAATCTCATTACCGATAAATTTGGTTAGGATGTATATGTTTATAAGCATTAAAGTAATTCTATTGCAACTATCGCAAAACAATTATACTTTTATATGCTTAGGCTTCTTAAAGTTAATACCATGTTTGCTTTTTAGTTAGGACTTAGATGTTAGGACTCGAAATCTTTCTATGTTCAGATGGATGGCTTGTCCCTTCTTCCTGCTTCTTTACTTTCTCTTCACTGCTTTATAACGATTCTATTAAATCTTCCTACGGAAATTCTCTAATTACAGATGGCTGTGAGTCGAAACACAGCTGGAAATCTATTAAGACAGCTATTAAATGTTTCTTGCATGTGCTGTAGAGTTTCCTTATTTTTAAAAAATTAATATATCTATCTAGAAATGATATTTCTCCAACGTGTTGGATATTATTGATGTTTTGTTAGATTCGTTTTGAGAATTTTTAGTTTTCTTCTAATTATAATTTATTTGCTACCTACGTATGATATTTGAAGTTAATTTTTTTTTTTATAAATATGTATTGGATACATAAATATTACAAAGATTTGTGTGATTTTGTTTGCTTTCGCTTAAATAAATAATGTATTTATCCATTTAAAGCTTTATTTATACATTAGCTTGCATAGATTGTATTTTTTGGTGGACTATAAATATTTAAAAAAGTTGTGGATATTTCGCTTCGCTTAAATAAATAATGTATTTATAATTTTAAAGACCTCCATACATTCATATTTGCAAATTAACTAAGTCGTACACAATATAAAGCAATATATAGCATATTATTTAATCCATTTTAAGTTAATAATTTGATAAATATATGCCGGCTTATAAGAGTTATAATGCACTGTAAGTATTACAAAGAATTGTGGGTTTTTGTCTGAATTCATATTTCTTGAATATGTATGATTCATAATAATATAGTATCTTGTAAAATTAAACCTTGTAAAATTATGCATTGTGCTCTATTTAACAAAGCTATTAAGTAGTTTATTGATTATTAATTAAAAATAAATAGAAACATTAAAGCTAATCTGAAGCATTTAACTTCTGCTTTCTAAATATACTAATCGACGTTAATACATTTAATAATTTTAGTGTTTGATATTTTTAGAAGAGATATATTGCACTAAAATTGAATGAAGGCGCCTCTTCTTTAAATTTATGAGTTTTTTCCGCATTGTCGAATATTCAAAACAACTTTTTAATGTTAATGCAATAAAATGACAATTTCAGTATTGCAATCGGCCCCCTTTTGAATAAATAACAGATATATGTGAATATAAATATTTACGTATACAGATATATTTATAAAAAACGTTTGAACATTGAACAAGTTTTCTCCTTGAAGGACATAGCTTTAGATTAAGGAGAATCAATTAAATAGTAGTTCCAATAGAATACAAAAACTTAATATCTATTCACATCTGCTGTTTCTCGGGAAGTATTTATATTTTTGTATATTTAAATTACAGCCAAATAAATTGCTGCTTACATTTCATGTGAGATATTTTGCACGTTGAATTTTTGTAAAACAAACCATAAAATCGTGCGATTTACGTGCGTATATATGTACGTATCTCTGTATATTCTATATTCATACAGAATTGTAGGAAAAATCAAGAGCACGCTATAAAAATAACGAATTTGTTGGCTCACATCTTTCGTTTCTCAGTAACGTGGCCGATGAAAATTGTTCATCTATTGTGTTGGTCGGCAATTGAATGAAAAATGTGTAGCTAAATATTATTAAAAAAAAAACAACAAGGGAAGGGGAGGGGAGTGCAGCTGGCAGTCAGTCGGTCGGTTTGTCGAACGGGCGATCGGAGTGTCATCTGGTTGGGCATGTTTGGTTGATTCTAAATATAGAGCAAGCACACGTTGGATCGTCTTCTATTGTTTTTGTTGCTGTTGTTGTTGTTAGTGCTCTTAATGCGGCTATTAGACCCATTATTTGTATTTAAATTTATCCATAGTATAGAATGAATAGATAATGTGGAACATAGAACTTAAAATTATTGCAATGCTAGTTTTTATTTAGCTATTTGGAACAGACGTGGACTTTACACTTGAACTACTTAAAATACCAATGCACTCACACATATATCTTTATATATAGTATATCATCACTATATACTATATGAAAGTAAATTGTTACAGCTTGTTGTACATTTCACTTACATGATGCTCAGCTAGAGGAAGAAACGATCTTCGCTCTATGCCCAGAGAGGCAGAAACTGATTCAGAATCAGAAGCCCAAAATGTGGCGCTCGTTTCGAGCAGATCCGGTGCAGAACAAAACCGAACAGAGCAGAGTGTACGTGGCCGTTGATATTTTTAACTCGACACAACGATTTTTCTTTTCTTACATGCGCCGATGTGAAAATTTTCTTTTGGATTTTGCATTCGCTTGAAATTTTTTATTTTTTTTAAATCATTAACTAAACTATGATTTTGATTTGATTTAAATAATTTTTGTTGTTTTGCAGTCTAAATTTTAAATATGCATACGCGTCTAAAAACAAAATTAAAGATGCCACAATTTATAGCACATTGCTCATAGCTCACAGCTACTTATCTACCTATATAGTATAGATTTTTCATGCACATATATATACATCTATATATGTATTTATTTGCCATGGAACTGTGCACATTCTTATATATTATATTTACACACTTTTTTTTTGTGTAAATGTGTAAT